GCATCTCTGGCCAACCTGCTGATGGCTGGGGGTACCAGCGCTTTCACTCCAGGCGCGCATATGCCCGCCTTCCCTTTGGAGTTCCCCTTTGGAAGTCGTGATTCCGAGGCAAATCAAATATCCTTGGGCAGGGGGAGGTGGGCTAAATCCCGCTGCTGCACTGGGCTCTCCCTCCTCCTTCACCTTTTTCTCCACCCCTGCATCTCAGAGGGATGCTTTTTTTCTTCGTTTTTTATTAAAAATAAAACAATCCCAAACAATTTACAAAACAAAGGAAGAAGCACACTGCTCGCTCTAGCAGAGCCTGGGACAGGTACCACGGGTTTCAGAGCAGAGGCGTGGCCGGCTAGGGAGGAGGCGGAGATGGGGAGGGGCATAGCAAAATGGCGCAGGAATTTGAAAAGGCGCAGAAGTCCTTCTTTGTTTCAGCAAGGCAAGATGGCGGTAGTTCTAACACCTATGATTTCGTTAAAGAGATTTCAGTAAGAAAAAGCGGTGATGGGAATTTTCTTAGGGCCAAATGTTCTATAAAAATCATTCAAAGCACAACCAACCTGTTTCCATCTGTTTTTATATATTGTCCCTTATCGTGGGAGCCAAAGACATACATTTTTAAGAAGAAGGAAAAAATTGAACTAAATTCTTTTTCTTAACCCTTACCCCTCGTGCCTTGAGGGAATTATTAAGGCTTTCTACAAACCTTTCCTGCACACCATACATCTTTAGGAAGGAGTCTTAACCCTTACCCCTCGTGCCTTGAGAGAATTATGAAGGCCTTTTATAAACCTTTCCTGTACACTGATTTCCTGCCCCAATATTCACTGCGCACTCACCTCCGAGTCCTCCCATGGTGCGGGTAATACCGTGGCAATCTCTTATTCATCGACTGGCCAGTCCTTCTTTCTTTCTATTATCCACGCAGTGTGCAACACATATCGATTATGTTCTCTAAAAATCCACGTTGGGTGCCAACTGTAACCGCCAGCTGAAACCGACCTGCGGGTTCATACGTGTTCTAGAGTGGAATCTGTGTGGATTAAAAGAGGAACAGGGACACGAGAGATTGGGGCAAGACAAAGATTCCTGATCAAGCCCAAATTTATTCGATGAATTCTGCTATAAATAGGCAGTGGAGTAGGCTGGGCTGCCAGGGAACCCAGCCCTAGGTTATCAGTTTACAAAAGAGAAGGAGGGGCATGCCCCAAGGTGTTGATTTACAGGTGCTGATTTAAGTGGTAGGCATAGTCCCATGTACTCAGGATGGCTTCCTACACCCTAGTATCACGACCTCTTGTAAATCCAGCCTGCACATCTGGCAGTTCTCTGTTGATATATTGTTCCAAGTGTTTTTGGATAATTTTGAGCAGAATCTTGCTTGCATGTCATATCAATGATATTGTTTGATAATTTCCACACTCTGTTGGGTCACTTTTCTTTCGAATGGGAACAAATAGTGATCTCTTCCAGTCAGTTGGCCAGCTGACTATCCTCCAGATTTTCTGTCACAACTTAGTGAGCACATCCAGGGCAGCATCTATTTGTGGAAATAAATCAATTGGCATGCTGTCAACTCCTGGAGCCTTGTTTTTTGCCAGTTCCTTCAGAGCAACTTGAACTTCCTCCTTCACCACCATAGGCTCTTGCTCATATGTTATTTCATGAAATTCCTCTGTGTCAGCCAATTCCTTCTGATACAGTGACCCTGTGTACCCCTTCCATCCTCTTTTGATACTTCCTGGATCATTCAACATTCTACCCAAACTATCTTTAAGTATTGCCACCATGGCTTGAATTTGTTTGTCAACTCCTTCAGCTTAAGAAACCCTGAGCGAGTCCAGCCCTTTTGATTTTCTGACTCCAGCAATCTGCACATTTCATCACAGTATCTTGCTTTGTCGTCCTGAGCTGCCTTTTGAAATTTTCTGTTCAGCTCTTTGATTTCTTCCTTTAGCTTTGGCTTCTCGGCGCTCTAATCCAATACTCAGAGTCTCATCTGACATTTTAATATATGTTATTGTTGATTGATTCAATTACAGCTCATGACAGCCCATGTGTGCAGAACAGAAGTGCTTCCACAGGGTTTTCATAGCTGGAGAACCTCAGAAACAGAGTGCCAGACTTGTTTTCTGAGCCATCTCTGAAGAGCCTTAATCATTTGGACAACCTAAAGAACATGATATTCATCAATCTATATTTACCGCAACATTAACTAGTAACTCACTTATTGCCATTGAATCAGAATGGACTCATAGCTGACTCTGCAGTGGTTTTTGAGAGGCTGTAAGAGACTGTCTATCTTTCTTTCTCAAAGCAGCTAATGAATTCAAACCATTCGCCTCTGAGTTGGCAGCGTAACATTCTATTTACTAGGTCATCAGAGTTCGATAGATAGATAGATAGATAGATAGATAGATAGATGATAGATAATAAAGAGCATACATAGAAAATATATGTGTATATATCTGATACATGTTATATTGCTATGCAGTATACAGGAGGTATTTAGTATTCTGTACTGTCGAATCAGAACCAACCCATTGCTGACCCTCCAGTGGGTTTTTAGAAGCAGTTACTTGCACAGGAGGAGACTGTCCATCCTTCTGCAGAGCAGCTGGAATATTTGAACTGTGTGTTTTCGGGATTGCAACACAGCTTCTTGCCACTAGGTCACCAGAGCTCCCATCTATATGTGTGTGTGCATATGTGTATATATAAATAGAAATAGAAATAGAAATGTAAATGTAAATAGAAGTAGAAGTATATATATAAATCTATAAATAAATATATATGTATATATAAAGCTAGCTTTCTCTCTTGATAGAGCTAACCATATATACGTATACATATACCATATATACACATATATATGTATACACATATGTATATGTGTGTGTATACATGTAGTTAGCTATCTCTATGTATTCTGTTATGCACCATTGAATTGGAACTGACCCAAAGGTAATCCCCATAAACATACACCAAATAAACACACACACACACACACACACACACACACACACACACGTATATTGTTGTTTTTACTGTTTACTATAGAGTCAGAACTGAATCATAGCTGACCCTCCGGCAGGGTTTAAGAGGCAGTTCATTGCACAGGAGATTTCCCATCCTTCTCCCACAGAAATATATGTATACACATATGTATATGTGTGTATTAATACAGACATATATATGTTTAGCTATCTCTATCTTCTTGTGTACTTTTGAATCAGAAATGAACCGCAGTTGCCCTCCAGAAGGTTTTCAGAGGCAGTAACTCACTTGGGAGGAAACTGCCTACCCTTCTTTCATGCAGCAGTTGGTAGATTCAAATTGCTTCCCTTCAGGATTGCAGCACAACTTCTTCTCACTAGGCAACCAGGATTCCCATTGATCAACTTATCGATAAATAGCCAAATTCACTGCCATTTCTGACTCATGGTGACCCTCCCCCAGATTCCTGAGGTTGTAGATCTTAATGGGAGGAAAGAAAGATATCTCTCCCTGCATAGTGACTGGTGGATCCAAACTCTAGCCTTCTGTTAAGTAGCCCAACACATAATGCACTACACCATCAGAGCTTCCTACTTAATTACATACATATATACATGTATCTCATTATCTCCATATATCCTGACTTAGTTCAATTGATATTTTCCCATAAAGAATAAAAATGATTAAACAGTCTCTATCTGAAAATAAAATGCTTATAAAATGTTATATGTTAGGAACTTGTGACACAAGCCACCTTGGTGATATGCAGCAACATTGATTCGTAAGAGAGGTTTCGTCTCTTCCCTCAAATGTCTATGTCTGAAGCTTAGTGCATATGTGACATCACTTTCATGAAAAGTGTCATTTAAAGAGCCTTGTAACAATATTAATTATTTGAAAGACTTTCTGAGTATTACTTAACAAATACTGTTGAGATGCTTTATTGAATTAACCACTTGAGGGACTATTGAGGGATATTTTGGGGGTGTTGTCGGTAGAGAGTGGCACTCCTAATCCCAAAGTGACTTCTCTTGGCTCACACTCACCAAGGGCTCCACAGAAGACAGACAATCTTCTGTGAGATTCACAGGCTCTGAAACCTGCTGGACGGTCAGAAGGAATGTGTCGACTCCCCAGCAATGCCTTTGACTGGGAGGGAATTTGGAGTGAACTTTAATCATAGTTGAGGAATGGACCAGTCAATAAATCAGAGCCAGGCTTAAAATGTTATCAGGAAAAACAATGTATAGGAACTTTGTAATTAAAGCAATATAAAATGAAATGAAATAAAAACATCATTCAAAAAAAGAAATGTTATCAGGAGGGGTCATGTCTGATATAGTAAAAGCTTAGCTAAAAAGAGGAATACCCTCACAGGGTTGGATTAACACAGAGGCTGCAGCAAGAGCCTCGAATCTAACAACAATTTTGAGACTAGGCCAGGGTTAGGCAGTATCTTGTTTTCTGGGACACAGGGCTGCTAAAAGTAAAAACTGACTAGATAGTATCAAACAACAACAAAAACAACAGGCAGTAACCATATGTGTTTCTTTGAAGGGGTCTTGAAGAATTCAATGACTCTCTAAAACTGCTATAAAAAAATAAACAAGTACTTCTTTGCAAATCTTAATATTGTTTTGGGTGAGGCCATGGCCATTGTCTTTATTGCTAATTTTACTATATCATGTGTTTCTTTGTCAAAAGCTTGTCTGAGGGGCACCCAAGGTTGCCTCTGAAGAATATGCCAAAATCATTTGCATTAAAACAAACCCCAAACAAAACTCCAGCAAACCCTGGCTACAAGAAATCACACTGTCATCATGGCACCAAGCACAATGAATCTACACACTCAGCAAACCAGAACAGTGTCAACTGACCTGAAGAAGAAAGTGTTCCTCTTCCTTTAGCTGTGCTTGTTGTATGAAAACGTGTGGTTGCCCTGGGTACTGCTACAACCGGAGTGGCTGTAAAAGGGGCAGAGGTTCATGTAGTCTGATGCCCCTTAGTACCTGGGGCATGTATCGCAGTGAATCTTTGTGTTGTTGGAAGTCTCTGTGTAAAGGAAGCTTTGACTGTGCATGCTCTGTGGGTGGTTGAAGTGGCCTGAGCAGCAGAAGCATTTCTCATGGTGGGACTCTGCGCTGCTGGTGAGGTATTTGTAGGCAGAGCATTAGAAATAGGTGGTTTTTGTGTTGTTCCTGAAACCTTTGTGACAGAAACATTTGCTGACAGGGGCTTCTGAGCAGTTAGTGGGATTTCTGGAGCTGGAAGATTAGCTGAGGTAGTATTCTGAGCAGTTAGAGGGCACTTTGTAACTGGAAGATTTCCTGAGCCAGGTTTCGGAGAATGTGATGAGGAATTAGAAGCATTTGGTGGCGCAGTGGCTAAGCACTCAGCTGTGGTGAGTTCTTCTGTGGCTTGAACATTTGCTGACGAGTGTTTCTGAGCGGTGGGTGAGGACTCTGTAGAGAGATGACGTGCTGAGGTGGGTTTATGATTGGTGAGTGGAGACACTGAAGTTTGATTATGTGTTGAGGTGGATCCTTGAGCAGTTGTTGGGGACCGTGCAGTTGGGTGACTTGCTGAGGTGGGGATATTAGTTGTTAGTGGAGACACTGATGTTGGATGATTTGTTGAGGTGTGTCCACGAGTGGTTAATGGAGACTCTGGAGTTGGGTGATTTGCTGAGGTGGCTTTGTGAGTAGTTAGCAGCGACTGTGTCATAGGATGATGTTTGGAGGTGGCTTTGTGAGTGGTTAGTGGTGACTTTGTAGTTGGAAGATTTGCTGAGGTGGGTTTCAGTGGAGCTGGTGGGGCCTCTGTACCTGGAGGATTTGATGAGGTGGATTTCTTAGTTGTTGGGGGCTTTGTAGTAGAAGCAGGAACGGTCGGTGTTGAAGCAGCTGTTGTGCCGTTGGTGGTGGTTGTATTTTCTGTGGAGAAAAACCTTAAACAGGTAAATATTGGTATGCAAGTTCACACAGTTCTATTTCTCTTCCCACCTGAACAATGAAAAATGACTTTCAGAAAACCTAAATCTTATTTTGAATTTCACAAGGAACTGCCAGTGGAGAAGCCTATCTCTGAGTGATTTTACCATTGCTTAGAGTTTCCAAGTTTGCTACGAGATGCCTTGAAGTAGTTTTCTTTTTATCTTACCTACAGTCTAGAGAACATCTTGACCTGCTGGATACATTTTGTCAGTTTTGGAAAATTTTCAGTCATTATCCTTTGAAGGCTTCTTCTCTGCCGGGAAAGGAGGGACAATCTCCCCCTGTACCAGTCAGATCTGATTTGATGGTACACTCACACAAAAATAATAAAAAAAAATTGTTGAAAAAATGATGTATGATAGGGTATTATGGTTATCACAAGAGTCCACAATTAAGGTTGCATGGTGGAATGTACTTGGGGCAGTGGGAGGGGCGCAGGGGGATTGTGTACCAGGGAGGGAGTTTTCTATTATTTTTCAAAGAGAGGAGCAAACTGGGGAGTGGGCGGTGGCGGGTGAGGGCTGGGCGGGGAGAGAAGTGCCTCAATGAATGAATGGAA